TATCAAAATTCCAATAGCATTTTTCACAGAAATAAAAAAAACCCTAAAATTCATATGGAACTACAAAAAACAAACAAACAAACAAACAAACAAACAATAGCCTAAGCAATCTTGAAAAAGAAGAACAGAGCTGGAAGCATTACACTTCCTGATTTCAAACTATATTACACAACTATAGTAATCAAAACAGTATGATACTGGCATGAAAACAGATATATAAACCAATGGAACAGAATAGAGGGTCCAGAAATAAACTTAAGCATATATAGCCAACAAGGGCACCAAGAATACACAATAGGGAAAGGGTAGTCTCTTCAATAAATGATGTTGGGAAAACTGGATATCCACATTCAAAAGAAAGAATGGGAACCCTATCTTACACCATTCACAAAAATGAATTCGAAATGGATTAAAGACTTAAATATAAGACCTAGAACTTTAAAACTCCTAGAAGAAAACAGAGGGAAAGCTTCATTGCATAGGTCTTGGCAATGATTTCTTGGATACAATACCAAAAGCATAGGCAACAAAAGCAAAAATAAAAAAGTGGGACTACATTAAACTAAAATATTTTTGCACAGCAAAGAAATCGACAAAATGAAAAGGCAAAGGCAACCTAGTGTATGGAAGAAAATATTTGCAAACCATATATCTGATAGGGGTTTAATATACAAAAAAAGCAAATAACTTGATTAAAAAGTGGGTGAAGGGTTTGAATAGGCATTTTTCCAAAGCATACATACAAATGTCTAACACGTTTATGAAGAGATGCTTAGGATCACTAATCATCAGGGCACTGCAATGCATGTCACATCATACCTGTTAGAAAGGCCATTATATATATAATCCATATTAACAAGTGTTGGCAAGAAAGTTTAAAAATTGGAATCTTTGTGCGCTGTTGGTGGGAATGAAAATGGTGCAGCCAATATGATAAACAGTATTGAAGTTATTAAAAAAAATTTTAAATAGAACTACCACATAATCCAGCAATCTCACATCTGAGTACTTATCCAAAAGAATTTAAATCAGGATCTAGAAGAGATATTTGCACTCTTGTATTCATTGAATCATTATTCACAATAGTCAAGATGTGGAAACAACCTAAGTGCCAATTGACCAATGAATGGAGAGAAAATACAGTACATATGCAGAATGGAATATTATTCAGCCTGTAAAAAAAAAATACTGCCCTATGCTACAACATGGATGTACCTTGAGACTATAATGCTAAGTGAAATAAGCTACTCACAAAAGGACAACTACTGCATGATTCCACTTATATAAGATATCTAAGGTAGTCAAATTGGCAGGAACAGAAAGCAGAATGGTGGTTGCCAGGGGATGGTGAGAGGTGGAAATGGGTGTTGCTATTCAAAGAGTGTAAGCTTTCAGTCATACAAGATGGAAAAGTTCTAGAAATCCACTTGAACACATTGTGAATATAGTTAACAATACTGTACACTTACAAATTTGTTAAGAGAGTAAAGTTCATGTTATATATCTTTACTAAATTGAAAAAAAAGAACTTATATTTTCCTAGAGTAAGGATTCTGTAGCTAATATCTATAAGCCTTAGTCCAAACTACATATAACATTGGGTGATCATGCGAGGCCTTCTAGGGGACATAGTGCATAGCTTTCACTAGAATCTCTATAATAGAGTCCTTAATTCAGAGAGGAGCTGGAAGCACTGCTATGAGGAATATTGTATTCAAATTTCAGTTTACAAAAGGTCCATTTAAGAAAGTTTAAAAAAAATGTTCAGAGAAAGACTGATGTTTCATTCTTCTTCCTCCTCAAAAGGTAAACTGATCAATATATTTTTGATGAAGAAGACTGTGAGGATTTTTTAAAAATAAGATAGAAGTAAACAACTTGTTCTTTTTCATAGCGGTTAGACATTTATATAATTTATGAAGTGATTCCCTCGATTAGTCTAGTATCTATCTGGCATTATGCAAAGTTATTACAATATTATTGACTATATTCCCTATGCTGTACTTTATATCCTCGTGACTATTTTGTAACTACTGAATAGACATTTCTCCAAAGGAATTATACAGATGGCCAACAGACATATTGAAAAGATGCTCAAGTTCACTTATGGTCAGATAAATGCAAATTAAAACCACAATGAGATATCACCTCACACTTGTCAGAATGGCTATAATTAATAAGTCAACAAACAAGCGTTGGTGAGGTTGCGGGGAAAAGTGAACCTTCATGCACTGTTGGTGGAATTGCAAATTGGTACAGCCGCTATGGAAAACAGTATAGAAGTTCCTCGGAAAATTAAAAATAGAACTGCCTTATGACCCAGCAATTCCACTTCTGGGTATTTATCTGAAGAAATTGTAAGCAACCTGTTTTTAATTTCTCTCTCCCTATTTCTGTTGATTGGTCTTCTGCTAACCTCCTCTGTCTGCTACTTTTTAAAAAAATCCTTTGTGGTTCTACTTGACATTTCAATATTAACATAATCTAAGATTCCATCTAAATCCTCATTTTTATATCATTCTACTATCCCTGGGTGAGATTATCCACTCCAAATGGCTTCAACTATAATCCAAATGTGTATTATCATCACCACCCTTCTCTTGAACTGCAAACTCCTATTTCCACCTGCCTATTGGGCTTTCTACCTTTCCCACCACAGGCAATTTCACATTATTTAAGTGAATTCATTATCTGTTTGTTGGTCACACTGTGAGTGTGCATGCATGCATGCGTACGTGCATACACACGCATACACAAATACACCCCTGGACTTTTCTCCACTGCTTTATTTTCAACTGGTTAATCTCTATCATCAGGCCTTTGTTTGCACATATACTATGTTTAGCCATTTTCCAGAAAGTAGTCACAGAATTTGCAAACTGTAGAGGAATTTAAGAAATCAAGTATCTCAATCCCTTCAATTTACAGAAAGGGGAAGTGATCTACTCAATATCACAGCAATTTAATGGCAGAACCAGCTTAGAATCCAGGCACCTCAAGTTCTACTCAGCACTCCTTTTACTACATGATCATGCTCCCACTAACTGTAACTAACAGGAATGAGATCCCTGCTAATAGCAGTGATTTTTATCAGTAAACAATCAATATTATCTAGCCATCCAATGTTCAAAATGTCTACTTATGTGCTGTTTGAACCATGGACTGGGTAATTTATGTTCTTCTGCTGTAAAAGGATAAATTGAAGATGAAAAGTATAAACTGAAGAGTGCAACAAGACATCAGCATGGAGTAAGTCTTGGAATGAAAGTAGATTGGTTAAAGGTTAGCTCAGTGTTTGCTTTCATAATAAGGTTGTGAGGATTTTTACTTTTTATTTATCAAAGTGTTTTCATATGTATTAGTTCATTTTAGTCTTCAACAGGCCTGGAAGGTAGGTAGTTCAGGGCTTATTAGCTGAAGTTTATAGATGAAGAAAATGAGACTGAAAACAGTTCAGCGATTTGTTCAAGGTCACCTGTCTAGTTAGTGACAAGGCCAAGGCTCACAAGAGTGTCTCCTGCTTCCAATCTTTTTTCCTCTAGTCTAGTCATATGTTTCTAGTAGACCTTGAGTGATGACTACATATTTTGTGAAGAAAACTTTACAGATTTTAATATTTTGAGACTGAAACTTGCTGAGTTCTTACCAAGCAACAGTCATGGAGATAGCAACTTTATCCCAAAAAGGGGGGGAAAATGCTGAGTTTCAAGATGGGACAGAGCAAATGAATGTTATGCCACTGGTTGACACACAATTAAGAATCAACAAACTGAGATGCCATTTGCTCAAATTTTCTGCTTTCCAGTGACAGAGAGGAAATGGAAGCAGAGGATGAAAACTTTGTTTGCAGAAAGGTGACTGGAGGGAAGGGTGCTGCAATATGTTCCTTGGCAAGGAGGAAGAAGCTGCACGAGAGGGCAAGGGGCTGGACAGGCAAGAGAGAGTGGAAACATCTTGTTGATTCACAACTGAGTTGTCAAAACTTTCCTTGCTAGTGTGAGGCCCTTTAAAAACTCACTATCTGTATGTGGCTCCAGAGAGGACACTTCATGGAGGCGTGGTAACCTGCTCAGGTCAAGACTGAGAAATCGACAAAAGATTTAGTAACAAAGTCATTTTGGGAGACCATTACTTTGGGTATTTGTACACTTTTGGGTGTTTTTGTTTGTTTGTTTGTTTAGTTTTGGTCTGTTCTAAAAGCCCAGCTCAGAAACTACACCCTCAAGCGTGAACAGATGGGCAGAGATGTTGTGGGCCCTGCCTGAAGCTGATTTTTCCAAAAGGCGCAACATTGTTAATTGACCAGCTTATCAATGGATGCTCTTTCCTGTACGTTCGTTTAGGAGTGGAAACAATCCTTCTAGTTATAAAGTTCGCTGATTCCTGGCTTGGTCATCTCAATGGGGCAAGTGTAAGGCCGTGCCAGAAACTCCAGATGACTGGAACACACACAAGCACAGTGCTACCTGTAGACGCCAGCGTTGAGCCTGGGCGCGGCAGAGCCCGGGCAAGGGGCATCCTCAAAGTACTTCTTTATTTAAACTATGCTCTGGAGCAATGTTTCATAATGACCCCACACACCTAGCACATACGCACAGAGCAGCCTACACACACAGCCCCACTGTGACCACTGGCCTGCTTGCTTTACTTCCTATTCCTCTAGGCAAGGTCCACAAATTAGCAGCCTTTATAACTTCCCCAGTTCCCGGTCCTCGGGACCTTCCGATGAAAAAGGCAGTCAGAGAAACATGAACGCGCTAATCGGGAAACCAGCGTTTTAGCACACTCCGCCGCTCAGGCCATCCACACTAACGACTTTCACCTCTCCTCGCCTCGGCTGGCTGGAGGGGCGGGGAACCCGGCAGTAAGGAGGAGGACCAAAGCGAGGGCCTGCTTGAATGAAACAATGTAACAATTGATGTGAGGCCTCGCCTCGCTCCCACTCCCCAGCGATCCTATAGGCGAGGTCCCAGTGACTGCCCCCTCCCCATTGCTCCGTTTTCTTGTCCATTAAACGCAATTCCCCCGCCTCTCCGTTCCTTTCTTTTCTTTTTTTCCCCTTCTCCTTTCCCCCCTTTCTCCCCCTTTCTCCAGCTCCGTGTCATTTCCTCCTTGCACTCGCTCGCGGCCGGAGCTTCTCCAGCCAGGGGAGTAGGCGGAGCAGGGCGGTGCGGGGTGGCGTAGCGCTGGAGGGCGATGGTGGCGGAGCTGCTGGGCGCGGAGGCAACGTAGCCCCGCGGAAAAGGAGCCCCGTGGCGCCTGAGCCGGGCAGAGGATGGAGAACCGGCCTGGGTCCTTCCAGTACGTCCCGGTGCAGCTGCAAGGGGGCGCGCCTTGGGGCTTCACCCTTAAGGGGGGTCTGGAACACTGCGAACCGCTCACGGTGTCAAAGGTAAGAACTGGCGGCTCTGTCCCAGCGGTGCCCAACTTTGAATGGGCAGACGGGTGTACAGGCTGCCGCGAGACTGGGCCCTCAGACTAACTTTGAAATTTGGCCCGGATTGGGGGTGAAAGTCCTCCTGTGGCGCATTAGCAGCACGGAGGAGGGTCTTGCCACCAGCCCAGGTCAGGCACCCCTTAAGAGTGGCGGAAGCACGGCGGAAGCACAGCTGGCCCAGCGCGCACATTTGGGAGGCTATGGGGCAGCTTTTGCTCCCCCACGTCGGGCTGCTCCCCTCAGTTTTACTGGAGGAAGTGGTGGCTGGTGGGGGTTTCTCTTTAGAAGTTCCCGCGCTCCTGAGGGACTGTGAGGGATTTAAGGGACAGGCAAGGAAGCTTGGCAGCTTTCTCAGCAGCGCTGGCCTTCTGTCGACCGGCGGGCGGTCCCATCGGGGCAGGTTGCAGGGAGAGGGTCTGGTGTGGGAACGTAGATGAGGCATTGGTGGCTTTCGTCAGCCTCACTTCCCACGGCCGGATGAGCGCACATCCATTCAGCTGGCGGGGCGTTGCTGCTGTCGCTTCAGCTTGGCCTTCCCCTCCCTCCTAAGTCCTGTCCCAGCGCCGGCGAGATTTCCTGCACGTTGAGAAGTGTGGAAGAAACTTTTGCGCCATGTAGCGCAGCTGTGCTGGAGCTGCCCCGCCGCCGCCGCCGCCGCCGCCGCCGCCGCCAGGGTTTGTTTGTTTTAGGAGGCTGTGATCTGCTGGAAGCCAAGTTACAGCCGAGGACCTGGGAGTGGATCTCTCCCAAGTGGTTCACAACCTCCCAAGCGAGCCATTCTTTGTAGGAGTGAGGATGGGGGCCGCTGGGGCTGTTATTGGGAAGAGAAATTTGTAGGACAACTCACCTTGAGGCGACAGATTGCCAAGTAAACGAACTTCACGTACTTTGTCCCATTTTTTTTTTCTCTTAGATGATCAACTCTGAAAAGCCCTTCTAACCCGTTCAAATTGCTGTTGAGGTTGTAGATGTGGGTTTGGGCTGGAGATAGAAAGAAGTGGCTTCTCACCAGGGAACCACTATTACTATTTTTTGGCTTTTTAATGTGGGTCACATGTCATCAGAGAGTAGTAATGTTTCTCGCCACCCCCCCATCCCCCCCGCCCCGCAACCTGTGTTGCTTTCCACCTTGCATTGCAGCTGTTGGTTAACTTGTAGTGTAGGGTCCTTCCGGCCTTGGGGCTCACACTCTTGGCAGCTCTGGGGTGTTGCCATGGGGTGTACCAATCAGTTGAGCAGTCTAAAGAATGCTGAGGCAAAATTTTGAAGAGCTGTGATGGAAACCTGGGATCTTTAGCCTCCCCAAACACCAATCACCAGCCCAGATCTTCATCCAGCAGCCCCTTCCCCCATACTAGTCATGTATTTCTACCAGCCTGAGATGCCTTGGTCACCTACTGTCACACCCTTTCTTAAGGCACCCACCCTCCAGTATTCTCTGAAGGAAGTAAACTTTCTTTTAAAATCAAAAACAGTCTCATACAACCTCTTTAGAGAGGAGGATCCTGGTCTTCAGAATTTCTTCTAATCAAACTCTTCTTCATTTTTCCACCAAGGTCACAACTGGCTATGCAGCCCTCCGTGGTCTGGCAGTTCCTCCCTTTCTTTTTCTTTTTACGACACCCACAGAATTTCCACCGTTTGCCTAAATAACCTGCCTTGGAGAGGTCATTTTTCACCTCTGCCCAAGGCTGACCCATCCTGAGAGCCACCATACAGAGTGCTTGCTGTGATGGTGCTGGATTGTTTTGAAAGCCGGTAATAGCATAGCAGGAGGTGTTACTAAGTATGGGGCAGCCAGCAATTTGTGGTCTGGCTGGGGGATTATTTGAGGGTAGATGAGGGTTTCCTTGGCCAAGCTGCTGAGGAAGTGACTCGTGTGTTGAGAGCCAGGGTGCCTTTTAATGATTCCCTTTCCACTGAATGTGCAGTTGACCCCTATTATATGAAGGCTCATTATTACACACATTTGGAGATGCAGGGGGTAAAATCATTTCCCCCGTCCTTCCCAAATAACCTGGCTCCTTACAGTAAAAGCCAGCTATATTTAACATGGTTAGCCCCAATGTTATTTAAAGGGGCCATAGTTTTTTTGTTTGTTTGTTTTATTTTTTTAAGTGAAGTGGTTGCCTGTTTTGTTGTTGTTGTTGTTGTTGTTTGATTTTTTTCTTGCCAGGACACTCTGTGGCACATTTCATTAATTCCTCTTTTCATTTTTCTACCTCAGTTTTGTTTCCCCTCATGCTTCAGAACAATACAACTCTCTTCTTGAAAATAGCCTCAGTCTGTACACACTGGTGGGGATAGGATGGAAGGATATAGAAAGAGAATTGCATTGGCAGATCTAAAAATTGGGTTCTAATCCTTGCTCTGCTACTCACTAGCTCTGGGATCCTGCATACATCACTTGCTTTCCCTGGGCTTAGGGGTCCACATGTCTACAATGAGGTTTAAGTGGGTGGCTTTAAATAAGACTCTGATGGTCTAGTAGCCAATCCTTTATGCTTGCTCTGGTCCTTTTCTCCTCAGAAGGGTTGCAGACTGAGGAAGATGATGCTTTGTTCCATTTGCATACATGGTTCCTGTTTATAGTGTGTTTCCACATCTCTTATTTCATTAGCTTCTTACAGCCACCCTGGGAGGCAGTCAAGAAAGTTTGTGGAGAAACTGATGGAAAACTGAGGCTCTGATACATCAAGTAGCTTGCCTAAGTCTGTCATATGGTAAGTCAGTAGTAGGCTCCAAGTCTATCACATTTCCTACTACTTGGAGAGTATCTTGATTCTTCTGGTAGTACTGCAGTTTGTGAAGGGGCATGGTCAATGACATTCAGGGATGTATCCAGTCTTGGCAGCCTTCACCACAGTGACCCTTTCTATGCCACCATATAGTTCCATAGTAGGTGAGGACCGGGTTGCAGATACTTCCTGATGGAGTCTGGGCTCAGGGAGTAGGAGAAGACTATTTTGGTGACTCCAAATCACTTGTGATAATCTCAAGTCAGGCAGAGATGGAGGAAAGATACAAGAACGATAGTGATAAATGGAGATACCTCCTTTGGTATCATGGGGAAAAAAAGCGATTCGGGTCTCAGTCATGTGGCAATTTGGGTCTCAGTCGTGTGGCAAGATAGCTTGTGGAAAGGTGGAGGTATCTTGGGATTGGACAAATTTGAGAAAAGGTGGTTACTGGGAAAAGAGTGCATGGAATGTGAAAGTCTACTTCATCTTTGTCGTGGGAGAACCTTTGGACCAAGAAATGATCAGGTTGGAGAAATCATCGATTCTTACCAGCTTCTGTGATTTCCCTAAATGTGGGGAATTCAGCTTCCCAAATTATGGAGACTGGTATACTCTCCTCCTGACAATCAAGTGATAAAGAAAGAAGAAATGTTTTTAAAAAGCTACTGTTGATTATCCCAAGTGTTAATGATGGTTTATAATTTCCCCACACATTGTTGTGTTCCCAAAGAAGCATGACGCACAAAGGAATTGGGCCCATGACCTTGGTGTTACTAATTCCTTTGGTTAGTTTCTTTTACTACCTCATTGACCCAGGGAGGCTGTCAGGGTGAAGTGGAGATTCTCTTCTAATTAACTTTGTCTGTTTTGCTATTTAGCAGTACCCTTTTACAGTGAAGTTGGTTATGAAGTTGGCTCCCTGTGCTGGAAAAGATTCTCTTTGGGAATGGGTGACCTTTCCAAGGTTCTGGTATTACTAATTCTGCATCACAAAGGTTTAAGAGATTCACATTGTGTCCTTCTGAGAGGGGGGGGGGAGAGTGAGCGAGAGTGAGCGTGATGCCAAGCTATAGTGTAAGGATCCTATACCCATTTTGTTATTGGAAATGTGCCCTGAGGTTGGCTGAGGGTGGAGAAAAGAAAGAGTGGAGACAAGTGTGGAGATGTAGGAAAAGGAGTAGGAGGAAAATTGGGCAGGAGGATAAGACAGGGCGGAAGGCAGGTTCACCTTACATATTTGCCCTTTTCCTAGCCCATTTTTGGTAGCAGTCTCCATTTGGCACAGATGGAAGTGGGGACTAGTTACTGTCTTGGAACAAAGTAGGGTGGAGTAGGGGAGTAGCCTAGAGGAGAAAGAAGCTTCATCTCCTCCACTTAATGTGCACTGCTGTTGCTATATCATTTTTTCCCGCTATATCATTTTACCCTCTCTATACCCAAGTCTCTATTTACAAAATGGGGTTAGACATACCTGCCCCATGTTTATCTTCAAAGATGACATGAGAATGAATTGGAGAAACTCTAATACTGTTTGATGTCCTTAGCCTAAAAAACTGGCAGTTCATATTATTTAAGTTGTTTTTATCTCTTTTCCCATCCCAACTGTGACCTTATTTCTAGAAGAAGCATACAAAGAGGCAGTTGAGATTTCAAGAGGACATGTGTAGAGTCAGACTGAGGCTCTCTTAGGGCTGGCAGTAATTTGGTTATAAGTTTGAGTTCTTTTTGGGTGCGGAGGTCATTTTATATGAGAAATGATAGTTCCTATGAAGCATTTTTAGCTGTGTTACAAGCTAGGCCCACCCCCAGACCAGGGCTTGGCATTCACAAAGGGACCTTCATGGGATGTGCTTCTTGAGAGCTTAGTCCAGCCTGCTTACTTAATCCTTTCCTCATTTCTGCCTCTAAAATCAGCAAAGATGTCTACTGCCTCAGTTCCCTAACTGCTGTCTTCTCTCAGAAAGTAGGTGTTTAGGGACATGAGGTAGGAATTCATCCAGAGAGATACAAAAGTTGGAGGGAGGTAGAGTGAGAAAGGCAGGTGGTATGTCTGGTAACCCTTGACTGAGCTTCAGGTACGCACTACTTTTGGGCCTGCTGGGCTGTCATAATACACTTCGTAACCTCCTGATACCCACACGTGTGCTCCCTGAAGTGAAAAAGGCCATGCCTGTTAGAGAGTTTTCCCTCACTAAAACCTCAAAGACAATAATT